AAATCCCTTCCCTTATATTATGGACTCTCTTTTTTGGTGGGGGAGTTCTGGGCATAGAACTCAGGGGCACTYGACCACTGAGTTACATTCCCAGCCCTATTTTATATTTTATTTAGAGACAGAGTTTCCTGAGTTGCTTAGCACCTCGCTTTTGCTGAAGCTGGCTTTGAACTCCTGATCCTCCTGCCTCAACCTCCTGAGATGCTGGGATTATAGGAATGCACCACTGTGCCCGGCATATTATGGACTCTTGAATTTAAAGGTGCTTTATTTTTTATAGGTGCTTAACTCAGCAATAAGCACTGGAAAAGAATTTCAATCAAGTTCAGTTTCCTTGCCCTTAGCCAGGAAAAAAACAAGTTTCATTTCATATGAGATCCAAAGTGGTTAGGTAGCTGGCTGATGGCTCTGTGTCTGATTTTCTATGGTGCAAACTAGAGTCTTTGTCTCCTGTCTACAAAAACAAGGCCTTGTCTACAGCATCTCACAACCAGGATAAGAGGTTTCAGAGAAGACCTCTCCCCATCCAAGGCAGGCCCACTTGAATATTGCTAGGTAGTTCTTAAAGGTGAAAATTATGTTAATGATCATAATCACCCAACTTCAATTTGGTTGGTTCAGAATGAGAAATTACAGGACATTTTCATTTAGTCAGAAAATAAACTGTTTTTTGGAAGAAATTAGAGGGGGGAAACTGATATACTTATTTTGTAATGAGAAAGTTAAAACAAACATTTATAGGGCTTCTTAATTAATCAAATGTGCACACATTCAATGAATAARTGTAGACAATCTTGATTTTTTTGTTTGTTTGTTTATCACAAAAGAATACATTTGGAAGAAAGCTTTCAAAACTTTTTGGGTGTAGAAAGGGGAAAAATTTGGCATTTAACTTTAGTAAATGTGGGGAGAAAGAAATGAAATATCCACCATGAAAACCATCTGTTCCTTTACCAATTAAATCTGTGTGCTTGGTAGATGTGTCACCTATTCCACCTGCAGAAGATGCCTGTGAATTTGTGTCTCTCCTTTGGATTCAACTTGTCTTTCACAGCAAGAACCACTGAATCAGTCAGGTTAAGTTTGTTTTCCATTAGCAGGTAAGTCTGTTTTCCATTGTCATGTAGATTATAGGCTTACACCTATAATCCCAACAGCCTTGGAGGCTGAGGCAGGATCGCAGATTTAAAACTAGCCTCAGCAATTTAGCAAGGCTCTAAGCAACTCAGCAAGACCTTGTCTCTAAATAAAATATTAAAAAGGGCTGAAGATGTGGCTCAGTGGTTAAGCGTCCCTGGGTTCAATCCCTGGTACTAAAAATAAAAAAGGAATCACTGAATCATGGATAAACTTGGTAAGCACTAGAGGTGTTTAGGCCYATTAAGTAAGCAAAGGTTGTAACACAAAATAGAAATATTAGAGGTGGTGTTCCTTCTTGTTTTAAGGGTGTCTGAATCCATGCAGGAGATTTCAAGTTTCCAAAAATTATATGTATATTTACATCTTCCTTCCCCTTAAGCGCTCTAAAAACGTTGTCTATTTAATGAAACCCTAGGGTAAATCCTAAGAGCAGAGTTCTATGTTCATGACAGTTTTGATATCCTAACTTATCTGTTTGCTAAACCTCCTCTCTGTTCAAGTTATCTGAGAGCAAAGGCATATTTGTGCCRTAATAATTTGATAATAGCTATTTCCTAAGATGCTCCCTTGAGCTCTACAATAAAACTAACACCAAGGCCCAGTCTATGGGATATGAAACAACCAGTCAAAAGAAAATCAGTTAAGTCTGTTTTCCATTATCATGTAGATTTTTTTTCTTAATACAAACAAGAGTAATAAAATGCAGTTGTCCGATTTATTTCCTCTCTAACAAGTGGTGTTGGGTATATTATACACATATTATCACTTTTAAGGAAGAAATTCAATCAAATCAATTTTGGGCATTGGACAAAGTTAATAAATTGGCTGCAAGTTATATCTACCGTTGCTGCTGACACAGTGCAAGCCCAGGATATTGAGTACCTTAAGGAAATGAATGCTTGAAGTACAAAGCAAATTATCTAATACCAGAGGGCATAAACTTTCTATAATAGGCCAGACACTTATCACTATAGGCTTCATGTGATGTACTGTCTCTGTCACAACTATTCAATACCGTCATCAAAGCAAAATAGCCTCGAATGAGATGCAAATAAAGAGGCATGTGTTCTAATAACTTTATTTACAAAAACAGGCAGTTGGCCTGATTTGACACCCAGGCCATATTTGCAGATCACCATTTTAGACACTTGGAAAAATGTCACTAGATCCTAACACCCAAGAATATTTTTGATTGAGGCTTTTTATCTCTTCTAATCAAAGCGTAGAAAAGGACATACAAGAAGGAATTTGGTATAACCCTGATGACTCAAGATGGGCTTACCAGATGGAAGATGTCTGGTAGGGAAGGCAGTCACTGACTTGATATCACTTCGCCCATATTCTCTACTTTAGTTCTCACAAAAACTAATTAGAATCCCCATTTTTCAGATTTTTAAGAATGTGAGAAGGTGAAATAACTCAGTTGATATCTACCTGTCAAATCCAGCCCTATCTCACTCCAAAACTCATTCTGTTTTTTTTTTTGTTTGTTTGKTTKTTTTTTGTTCCATGACTAGTTGGTGCAGATGTAAGTTCTATGCTATGTGGGACAGGCAGGCAGGGCCAAGTGCAGAACCAGAGAGAGAATCTGCAATTATCCAATTGGCCAGTCAAGTACATTTTTAATCCATAGTTGGGGCCTGAAGATCATTTCTCTGTGCCAGCAGTTCGGAGTATTGTCACGCTATTCTCGGATCTAGCAAAGCCTGTGTTCACATTTAGTCCACAAACAGGGGTCATGGACCAGGTAAGAAGGAGGCAACTTTTACAAAGTGAATGTTTTCTTAACCCTTTCCAGAACCCCAGGGCACAGTCATTTCACCTCATGCCTCGAGGGTGTTTTCTGAAAAAAGAAAGTGCCTTTTCAGCACTCTTGGTGTCTGATTTCAAACCCTGCCCTTCCATCGGTGATTCTAAGTGGGTTGATGATGCCGCCCTGTTTTTACTGGTTTTCCCACAGGGTTTAGTCATCCAGGTGCCCTCCCTGAGTACCACATACGTGGGTCCTGGTTGAGAGGATAGGTGCAGTGCACAGGGCCTTTCCTAGTTTTCTTTAAGGCTCTAAAGGACAATTAAAGAGAACTATGGTGTGCATTCATTTGAACATGTGGAAAAGTTCACCCCCATTTATTCCACTGAAGAGCTTACATATGGTCCCCTTTTGATGGAGTTTTTGCTATATCTGGCTAGCCCCCAAGGATATGAGCAAAAAGCATGCCCTTTGGCATCCCCTTTTTTTAAAAAAACACACTTTTCATCTCTTAGGGAATATTAGAAAATAAAAAATGTAGTGTCTGAGAAGAGAAAATATTACCTAGAGAAGTAACCCATCTCAGAGGCTGAAGCAGACAGAACCAAGCAGTTAGCATCATTTGCTAAGGATAGCTCTGCAAAAGGGGTATTGTTTTTACCTCCATTTAAAATATAAGAAACAAAAGAACTGAAAAAAGGAGGGACTCATATAAAACCCAAATAATTCAGCTCAAAGTGAGAGGTCATATGGATGCTTAGAAAAGACATTAAGGCCCCCTGCCCTAACCCACAAAGCGCTCCCAATGGAATTGGCTGTCATTGCTTCTGGAAGGATAGGATATTTCTTTATCCTCTTTCTGGTCAAGTTGTACAACATCCAAAGTAAAATGTTCCTAATTATCTTGGAAGGAGTCCATAACTCTAAATCCAAATTAAAGTTCATTTCTTTTTATTTACAAAAATGCATCTCTCATGAAAAATGTTGAAGTCACTCCTTTGTGTCTTGCATTAACAAATTCCAACTCCAGAGAAATTACACAAGAAATAAAAACAAAAATTGGTTATAATGGGACTGTAAGTCACATTTTAATTAATGAATTTATATTTTCAGAACTTCAAAGTATCCAATAGAATAGTCAATTATAAAATAAACTTCCTAATTTACCTTTTTCTGTAAATCTATATTCTCTTAGACTAAGTTTGCTCTGGAGGTAAGTATGCCTGAATTAATTGAAAGGCATTTATTTTAAAGAACTAAGCACCTTTAAAAAGAATAGAGCAATTTTTTTGGTGACACTTCTTGCCTGAAGAAGTACAGAACTGGACTCCCATAAGCTTCATCTCTCAAGAGATTGTCTATTTACTTCATTTACCTCATAAAAGAAATATTGCAGATAATCTCTGTATGATTTCAATGATGAATAACACAAGTTCCTGTTTAGTCCACATAATGGAAAATAAAGTTCACAGTTGTTCCATCCAACTCCAGGGATAAAAATCAAGGTCAAAGAGACACCTCCTTCCTTTCCACACTGGGACATACTAGTCTTACCACAGAATGGGAAAAAGAACAAGAGGCCAGAGAGCAAAGCGAATAAAGACCCACTTCTCAAAATCAGTTTTCCACCCTGTGCCAATRCATTGACTTTCAGCAGAGAGCTAAAAAATTCAGATAGAAACAGGTCCCCCAAACTAAACAATGGGCTGAAGAGTATCTGCCTATAAAAATAAAGCCCCTCATGTAAACAACTGTACCACTTTCCCCTCCGGCCCCAACCCCATATCACATCTGGCTTTTGTTTTGTGAATCATAAACTGCCCTTTCTTCACCACAGTGATTCATGCACAGAAGCAGAGATATGATGAGCTGTCCCACCTTGGGACACTAGCTCATCCCCCCCGCCCAGCCTGGAAAATCAGCATCACCTCTGACAGGTTGGTTTCTCCACCAGGCTCCATCTCGCCCACCCCCTTCCTTTCTGCTCCCCAGCTTGGAACCCAGGCCTTGTAGCCCCATCACCCCCACCTCCCCAACTCCAAGCCAAGGGTGATCTCCTGGCCCCTGACTGTGCTTACTTGGCTTTGACAGCCACAATCAAACCACTTACGTTTTTGCCAGAGCATGGCCTGTGACAGGATGTTGCCTTTTTTCTTTGAAGCAGACAGTTTGGCTTCTTTAATGTGAGACCTGGGTGTGCTTTCCTCCAGTGGAACCACCGCTTGCTCTGAGGCTGCTTCCTCGGCTTTTTAAAGRCCCGAGTTCCCGCTGCGTGGGGGCACGTCATCACATCCTCCCACCTGAGGCACGGGTGCACTTTTTCTTCAGCGAAGCTGCCTGTCACCCCACTATGTGTGCATCCTCAGAGGCCCATTGGCTATAGAGAGTGCTTCACACCAGAACCAGCCAGCTGGGACTGAACAACCACAAAGCACAGGAGGCCGCGGCCATCTGCACAGAGCCACAGTGTGATGTCCCGAGTGTGAGAGTGTGAAGGTCTGTATGGGTGAGATGGTGTGAGTAACCACGTCAAGTCTTGAATCTCTTTCTTTTGAGGATCCCAAAAGAACCTCTGGAAAATGCTGGGTTTTCTCTRGTGCTTGTTCTGGGTTCCACCACCGGGACTTTGGCCAGACTCGGCCTGCCATGGGCGCCTGCTCAACGGGAAATGCGATTCCCAGGGGTCACTGATTCTCAACATGGGAGGAAGCACCTGTCCTCACTTCAAGCCTCACTAAACAACCTCCTCCTCCTTTAATATGGCTTTTCTGTTTATTCTACTTTGAAATGCAGTGGCCCCTCCCCTAGCCCCAGTCCCCACCAAAATGGCAAGCCTTAATTTTGTTTAAATATGGAGAACATTAGTTCTGATGATAGATATATCCACAGCAAAAGAGGCCAATTCAGGGAAGAAAGGAGAAGATGCCCACACTCCTTAAATGGAACTGGTTTCTCAAGGGGGTTTTGTTGGCACACTGAGAACAGGGCCTCTCTCCTAGTGCCCCCCACCTGATTAACAGGAAGCTTCTCAAAGGAGGAATAATGGGTTTAACACTTATATTGTATGGGTGTGAGCCACAAGGATCCTTCTCAGTTTGGAAGCCTTCTGTCACTGTGTATCTGAAACCCACAAGTTCAGGATCCAGTGACCCAATCAGTCTGGGGTCTAGCCCACTTGGCTAGGACCCCCTAGGGCAGGCCTGGGGACCTGCAGCTCTGCAGGTCTGGTGCCTCAGAGCAATCTTGCATCGGACCCTCCCAATCTCATGGGTCAGATGCAAAAAAATTTTTCTCCTTCTGCCTTCAGCCACAGAGCTGGGGGCATATAAAGCCCCTCCCAGTGCAGCTCTTGCCTTCCTCTCCAATGCATCTCCACTGCCCTCCTACCACTGACTCCCAGTGCCTTTCTAAAGCACTGCTGAATATCTGTGCAAACCCCTACTTTGACCCTCTGTCCTCTCTTGCTGGGTTCATCTCCCCTCTTTCATCTCCTCTCCCCATCTGAAAATCACCTCTTCATTTTTCAAGATCTGGCTCAAATGTACCTTTTTTATAATTTWAAAAAAAAAAGTACTCTGACTCACCAAACCTCCTGGCCCAGAAAATATCCATCCATTTTTCTTAGCTGTTGGAGCACTTGGTCTGGTCACTAAATGAAGGAAAATTGTTGCATGACCCTGTAGGTTCCTTAAGGAGGCTTCACATAGGACCTGGGCCATACTGACCTCTGAAAAAGCTTCACTTTATAAAGTTAAGAATGACTGTATCTAATGGGTTGTTTGTTTGAGGGCAGGTCTTAGAGGAGAAATGTTCACATAAACAACTCACTCACAAGAGAGTGAGGGCTGTCTCTCAGCAGAGTTTTGGGCCTCACCCAAAGCCTCTAACTGCAGGAGGATGGACAGGCTTGCTGTGAAGGTAGCAGGGTCATAAAGCACTGGGCCTCTTAGAAGCTTCCATTGCAAACAGTGGCACATCCATCATCAGGCTTGGCTCAGTCCCAAGAGACGTGAGTTTCCATGAAGGTTCTGCCATTCACTTCTGTGTCCCCTTAAACAAGTCACAAAACACTTTTAGTCTCAGTTTCCATGTTTATAAAATAAATAAGCAATTCTCTGAATGTCTCATAGATTCCTGGGAGGATGTGAACCCTGCTGGCCCTCTCTCACATTGATCGTATTTTGGCTCCTATTCTCTCCAAGTCCATGAAAACAAGAACTTCTTATTCATCTCTGTTTCTCCTCACAGGCCTAGCATAACAATTTTCATAAACTAATAAAAATAACTACTTACTGTGTCCAGGCTCCAAGTTCAGCCTTAAATACATTATCTAATCTAGTCTACACACAACAACTCATGAGGAAACTTCTATCTGTATTGTTTCAAGAAACAAGTGCTTAGGAAATTTAATTTGCCCAGTGTCACAGGGCTACTACACTGTTGGGTAAATGTCAGACTTAAGTTCATCTGATGACACCCACAGCTCTAAATTATTATACTAGTAGATATTCATTAAGTTGGAATCAGTGACGGGCAAATGGAAGTCATGTTTATTAGTATCAATGCAGGATCACTATGATTCAAACCTGGTGCAGATCAGTAAAAGCTTATACCCTCTGGGGTAAATCCCTACCCTCTAGAAACAGGGAGGAGGGGAGACCCAGAGATGCACCCATAAATCAGATTTTGTACACTGGCATACACAGCCAAATAATAGAGGAAGGGAAAACTAATGGAGGGACACACTCCAGTGAAATTTTAAAATAACTAAYACAAGGAGAAAACTCCAAAATTTTACTGAGAAAAGTATATTAACAACCAAGCATCAAGAATCAGAATAAAAGTACACTTCTCCATAGCAAAATCAGATGCAAACAGACAATGAAGAAGTATTTTTAAACTATTGAAGAAAAAGAACACTGAACCTGTAWTTTTTAAATCCAGCCAAACTGCCATTCAAATATCGTAGCATAACAAAAATATCCTGAGACCTGCAAGGCCTCACATTAAAATTGCTCTTTGAGGAAGTATTCAAATGAAAAGAGCTACCTAGGAGGATGTTACAAGAAATACCAGAACAAAAGATCATGAAATATCTGGATCAAGCTTATTATAGGAATTTTCTTAAAACTGGAAACAAAAAGAGAAATTTTATCTATAGTAACACAGAATATAAAAAAAAAATCTATATGCTTGCCACAAGTCCATGGGACATCATTTATATTATTTTCTACTTAATTTTGTGATATGAAGTTCTAAAGGAAATCAAAGGGAAATTTGATTTTACTAATGTTTTTGTTGTATAAAGAGGAAAATACAGATTGAATAATCTTTATCTGAAATTTTAGGATCAAAAGCATTTCAGATTTCAGACTTTTTAAAGATTTTGGAATATTTGCATATACATAGTGAGATATCTTGGGTAGAGACCCCCAAGTCTAAACACAAAATTCACTTATATTTCATTTACACCTCATATGCATAGCCTAAAACTAATTTTGTACAATATTTTTAGCATATGCATGTYTTGACTGCAATCTGTCACATGGGGTCAGGTGTGAAATTTTTCRCTGGTGGTGATAGGTAAACACTCAAAAGTCTCTAATTTTAGAGCATTTGGATTTGGCATTTTCAGATTAAGGATGCTTAACCTGAAGAGGAAATCAATGGCAGAAAATAAACGTGTRAGGGGCAACTGCCACTTCTGTTCTTACCATAAAAACAGAAATAGAATGTTTTATTTTTAAACCAGCAAAAGAAAACTGGACCTTTCTATGGAAAACAGGAAGGAAGTATTTTTAAAAATACAGTGAATGGAAAATAAAAATGAGATAACAGGACGAGTTCTAATATACAGTAATTATAAAAATATTAAAAGATTAAGTTTACCAATTAAAAGACACAGATTCATGGATTTAATTTAAATATTTTAAAAGATCCAATAATGTTAAGTTATAGTTCAATAAAACAAACTACAGAAAATTTGCAAATAAAAAATTAATGTAACCTTGATTCTAAAGCTTCATAAGGTCAATATAAGAAAATTATAGGCCATTTAATTTGTGAACATAGACTCAAGCATCCTAAATATTAGTTTGTAGAATACAATTCTGTATTAAGAAATAAAATTATATCATGAAATAATAATGATACATCATAATACAGAGTTCATGTAAGGAATGCAAGGATGGCTTACTCTTAGTATACCTATCAATATAATTCAACATACTGATGAACTGTAGGAGGAAAAATTAGGACATTATCTCAATCACTGTCTAAACATTTGATAAAGTCCAACATTCGTTTTTAATGTTAGAAAAAAATTTAAAAATTTGGACTAGAAGTACACTTCCTTAGCTTGGTAAAGCATATACCAAAAGTCTACAGAGATAATATACATATTGGAGAAATTGTAAACAAATTCCTTCAAAAAAAAACAAGTTGTCCTATTGCATTATGTTATTCATATCCAAAAAGTTTTATCTACAATTTCCAGAAACACATGTATTAAACACAAAAAAACTTGTGAATTATATCATGTTATTGTGCCAAATATTATTCCAGACTTTGGGGATACAGCAATAAACAAACCAGAAATTGTTAGCAACATACAGACAGATAATTGATGTTGGGTAGATAGAAAATCCAATTGATATTCTTCAACAAATGATTTGTCATCAATGCAGATATGGATACACTAAAGCATAGAAAAATTGATGGCCTACAGGCTTAACAATCCCTASACACTAAAAAAAGTCTGTGGCCAGACATTCAGTGCCATTTTTAAAGTCTGATGAATTTCTTGACCTTAGAAGTGGGAGAGAAGGGGAGTACCAGAGTGATTTTAAAGGGTACCCATGAATTCCATATGCATATAAACATTTTCCTTGGCAGACAGTCCATAGAGTTCATGAACCACTGTTCATACCCAAGGTTAAGAACTACTGTTTATTTTAAAGAAGTGCTATGATATCAAATTTTGAAATATGAAAGAGAAATTGCTTAAATCTAGCTAGAACAATAATGGRCTCTGAGGTAAAATACGAAGTCCACAGGTAAAATATTAAATTCCATTGCTGCCTACAATAAATTTCTCACATTTCTTTACATACTGCATCAGTTAAGCMCATTTCTCATTTCTCCAGCAATTTTATAGCATTTCATTCTTCTGCATTTCATTCTTCCATCTAGGAGAATCAGGAAAATATAGTGAAGAGA